ATCACAGCTCACAGCAACCTCCAACTCCTGGGCTCAAGCGAGTCTCCTACCTCAGCATCCCAAATAGCTGGGACCACAGGCGCCGGCCACAACGCTTGGCCATTTTTTGGTTGCAGCCATCATTGTTGTTTGGCGGGTCCAGCCTGGATTCAAACCCACCACCTTAGGTGTATGTGGCTGGCGCCTTAGCCACTTGAGCCACTGGCGCCGAGCCCACATCAGTAATCTCAATATTTTGGGAGGCTGAAGTGGGAGGATCACTTGAAGCCAGGAGTTCAAAACCAGCCTAGGCAACAAAGCAAGACATCATCTCTACAATTTTAAAAATCAGCTGGTCATGGTGGTGCACACCTGAGATCCCTACTCTAGAAGCTAAGGTAGAAGGATCCTTTGAGCCCAGGAGTTTCAGGTTACATTACGCTATGATGGTGCCACTGTACTCCATCCTGGGAAAGAGAACAAAATCTCTTAAAAAACAAAATAAGACTCAAACCTGTAATCCTGGCTCTCTGGGAGGCCAAGATGGGAGGACTGCTTGAGCTCAGGAGTTGGAGACCAGCCTGAGCAAGATCGAGACGTTATCGCTAATAAAAACAGAAAAATTAGCCAGGTGATGTGGCAAGCACCTGTAGTCACAGCTGCTTGGGAAGCTGAGGCAGAAGGTCACCTACACCCAGAAGTCTCAGGTTGCTGTAAGCTAGGCTAAAGCCATGGCACTATAGCCTAGGACAACAGAGTGAGATTTGAGTCTAAAAAAAAAAAAAAAAAGATTCACCAAATAATCAGGATATATGTGTACATACACAGGGAGAAAAAGAATAAGATGGAGATAGACAGTGAGTTTAGTTGGTTTGCCTTAGATTCTTTTTATTTTAAGTAGGCTTGTTAGGCTGACTGGATATGGTGACTCACTCCCCTAATCCTAGAATTTTGGGAGACCAAAGGCAGGAGCGCAGGAATTCCAGGCTACTCTGCATTCCATCCTGAGCAACAAATCAGATTAAAGAGACTACACCACATCTGGGCCCAGGGTTGGGGGGAGGGGGATGTTGCGCACACATGCTTAGTAGGTTTGAGCTAGGTCCCATACATTCCTTAAACAGAATAGATTCAGGGGCCTGCAGCACAGTGGTTATGTTGCCAGTCACATGTACAGAGGCTGGCAGGTTCGAACTCAGCCCAGCCAGCTAAACAACAACTACAGTAAAAAACAGCCAAGTGTTATGGAGGGCGCCTATAGTCCCAGCTATTTGGGAGGCTGAGGCAAGAGAATTGCTTAAGCCCAAGAGTTTGAGGTTGCTATATGCTGCGATGCCAGGGTATTCTACCAAGGGCAACATAGTGAGACTCTGTCTCAAAAAAAAAAAAAAAA